AGATGTCGAGCCGTCTGCCGGCAGACCGGTCCTCCGAGACCAGGAGTGTGTGTGCGAGGGAGATGCGTGTGAGCACGGCCGGCGCTGCACCGGCCAGCAGTGTTTCTCCTCCCTGAACGTGACCGACAGGGCCGTCGTCCAGCGGAAGGGCTGCCTGAGGGACGACGAGGAGGGCAGAGCCACCTGCGCCATGGCACCCTCATCGGTCTATGTCGTCAGGTGCTGCCAGGGCCATCTGTGTAACATGAACGTCACGGTGCAAATTCCAGGAAAAGGTGACTTTGTGCACGCTTGGCTGCTGCTCACCACTAAACCTTGTCACGTAGCATGCAGAAGATTTTCTTGGGTAGTTTTAAAAAAAAGGGGAGGGGGAGAGGGGAGAATTGTGTAAATTTCACTTTTTTTTTGTTTGTTTAAAGTACGTGAAATTAAAAACTTACAAGCTGCCTTTTCTCCTTAATCTCTCTCAGAAGGGGAAAAGAAGCTCCTGAGCGAAGAGGAGCACGAGTGTGTATGCGAGGGCAGCTCCTGCGTGACGGCGACTCGCTGCTTAGGCCTCCAGTGTTTCTCGTCTCTGACGGTCAGCGGTGGCTTGCTCGTGCACCAGAAAGGCTGCTTCAAGGCAGTGGAGCAGAGCACGATGACCTGCAAGACGCCGCCGTCCAGGGAGCAGATAGTCGAGTGTTGCCAGGGGCATCTGTGCAACATGAACAGCACCGTGACGCTTCCAGTCAAATGTACGACAAAGTCCAGAACGCACCACTAAAGTTCAGAGCTCTTAAAAGTTTTCATTCGATTGCTTTGGCTGTTGCACCGAGTCTGTCTTAAAGGACAGGTTTCTGTGATCTAAACTGCAAATTGGATAGGAAGTCTTAAGTTTCAAACACCTGGGGACTATTTCCATCCACTTCAATGCAGATTACAATAAAAACGCACAGGCAATGGTTTATATAGATCATGTGGTCAGAGTTGCCTGTATCAACTTTGAACATCTAGAGACTGAAATGTTTGCCAATTCTTAGTAAAACAGCTCAAAGAGTTTTCAAACCTTGCAACAGAGGCTCCATTAGATTAAGGACTGGACTTTGTCTAGGCCATCCAAACACCTTTATAGTGTTGGGATGGATTTTTCGGATGGTGTTCACTTATCCTACCACCAACTCTGACCAGTTTACATATCCCTGCCAAACTAAAGCATCACTCCAGCTTGATGCTGCCACCACCATGTGTGAGTTTGCCTTCATATAGTGTTTGTCCATGATCTTACCAGAGCATCAAGGAAAAGTACATTCTTCAAGTCTTCATGGAAAAGTACATCCTCTGTACTTTTCCATGAAGAGCAGATTTGTGAACCAGAATCAGCTGTATTTTTTTCTTCCACATTTATGTATTTTTTAAAATTTTTCTATGTCAAAACCCATAGATTGTCTTTTAAATAACGTAAAAAAAATATGTATATCAGGCTCATTTAGTTTGCAATATAAATTCACATAATCTGAGGGAGTAACCTTTTCTGTGCTGCCCTTTATGTATGAGTGGTTAGAAATATGAATGATCATAGCAAATAGATTTCTAGGTGTTTTTCCTGCTAAGTGTAACCCTCCCTTCTCTAAAAGTTTGGCTAAAGCCTGAGCACCCAGACAGAGTTGCTAGTTATGTGTATGAAGGAGTTCATTATGCGAGTTGGGTAAAGGGGGAACATTGTCTGTCCTGAAGGAAGAGTGGAGCACTCTTCTCCATTTGGAAATTATGAATGGTGGTCAGTTCATCATGCTGATGACTTGATTTGATCCACACTGTGAGCTGAATATGTGACAGAATGGTTTTTAGTCTATTTGAGTTACAGCCCTACGCATTGAAGTATTATTATTTGACTTAAATGTCCACCCAAAACTGTCTGAAAGGACCGTCTTGCCTGGTTTCACCAGAAACAGATCCCGTGTCCACGCACACCAAAACCCACTGTAGCCATTTCACTCTTCTCCTTTTCCTTGCAGTCGATGAACTGTACAGCTACAATGTGACCACACTGACGATGGCCATTGTGGCCCCCATCATTGTTCTCATCATCCTTTCCGCCGCCGCCATCCTCGTGTTTAGACGCATCCACCGCAACCAAATGGAAAGGCTGACGTCGCGAGATGCCGAATACGGAACGATAGACGGACTTATAGCGTCTAACGTGGGGGAGAGCACTCTGGCGGTATGTACGGCATAACCCACTTCGATGTGTTTGAAAGGAAGAGGTTATTGGTAATTAAACCAATATATGTTAATAGTTACCTCAATAGACTTATGTTTCAGAGCTTGGCATCAGTCAAAACTGTCTAGTACTGCATAGGGCTACACAATATTTCAGATCCCAACTGTCCTTGTGCATGTTAAGGGCATTCTTGGGTGTTGGTCTTTGTCAGAGTGCAAAGTGACGGTTTTTACTTTAACAAGACAACAACAAACAGCTGACTTAAGGGCTGTTAAAATGTCTTCAGGCCTTACAGTTTTTCCACAGGAAAGTTTCAGTTTCTGAAAAAACCTCAGAGAATTTTCATTGTCCATCGTACACCCAACATCATAATGGTTGCTGAGCTTTTCTTTAGGAATCTGGCTTTGAATCTAAAATACGGCTCCTCTGTTTTTTCAGTAATGGATGTTTTCCGAGTCTGATTGAAGATGTAAATTGCTGTTTTCTTAGTTCATTTCTCTCCTGATTAAAAAATAATTTCTGCTTGCTGTACTTGGATATGTAGCCTACATAAACAAACATTATGCAGAATCTTATGTGTTCCCTTACTTTGATTAAGTGGGATTTTTGCCTGCTGTTTGCACACACTGTTGACATAATAATGCATAATAGGTACTTGATGCATAATAAATGCCTGTGTGGAAGTGTGGTTTAAAACTTTGCTCTAAACTATACTTTAAATAAGAAGCCATAAACATTTTAAATCCCACCACCAAGTTTGTGACTCTTTATTAATTCACGTTGTTCTCAGATGTAGTTTGGCTCTCGGTTTAAAAGGCTGAACGTCTGCACCGGTAATGTTCAGGTCTTACCCGAAGCAAGGCCAACATGTCTTCAAACATGATTCAACAGTGCAGGCCACGACTGAAAGCTGTGTACTTTCCTGATCGTAATCTCAAAACTGTTTTTCTGTCGGAGGGGGGAAAAAAAAAATGGTTCTGCATGAATATTTGTGTGAACGCTGTACTCGGGAGAGTGGGGGGAAAGCAGGCGAGTGTTTTGCATCGTCTCAGTCATTTTTTTTTTTTTTGCTCCCGTCTCCTGGAGGAATGTTTTTACTATTTATTTTCTCTCCACTCGACTGTGGATTGTGCGTCTTCCACACTGTGGTTTGTGTGTTTGAGGGCTGCTAAACTGATCCAGAGTTTAGGTGGAGCCCTGTGGTTAGCCTTCCGTCTGAAAAATGGCTCTGCGGAGCATTTACTGACTCATGCAAGGCAGTCGAGATGAGCAGGAAAGACTCGAAGTTTAGTCTGTGCCCAGCTGTAGACTAATTAAAAGCTCCCATGATTAACTGTCATTTTGTAAGAAATGTATTCAGTTCTTGTACATTTTTTTACAACAACTTGCAAAAACGTTTTAGTTTTTTTTTTTTTTTTTTTTTCTCTGGTTTTTTGTGGTAGACCAACAGAAACTAGTGTATTTGGAAATGGATGAAAAATGGTAAATGATTTCCAGTTTCCAAAAACAAACAAAAAAAAAAAACTTTGATGCGTCTAAATGCAGTGGTGTATTTATTCAGTTTTCACTCATTTTTTTCTGAGGATCTTTAAAAAAATTATTTGCAAAAAAATTGGTCATACCCCACGAGAGCGGAGATGAGGAAGACTGTACCAAAATTTCAACTGTGCATATTAGGGTATACTACTATGGTGTTTGGGTTGCTCAGTAGTGTTTTTAGAGGGTCCTCAAGTGTTCGTAGTGGTTGTGGTCATCCGACAAGTTTGGTCTGCTGGTAAACCTACGAAGACATGGATGTTTAAATTTTTTGAGCAGGCCATCAGGGAGAGCTTTGGAGCATCAGTTATATGGAGAAGCATCAAAGAAATCTACGGCAACCGTGAAGCTGCTGCAGAAATTCTTAGTTACCCCAAAAGATTTGGGATGAGTCTGTGTGGCTGCATACAAATGGATGGCACACTTAATTTTTTTATTTTTGAAAAATCTTAAACCTCGCATCATTTTCCACTTCACAGCTAAGTGCTATTTGGTGTTGATGGATCAGACGGATCCCAAATGAAATAGACTGACGTTTGACGTAATCTGACAAAATATTTTGGAAAAATACAATTCTGCACAGCACAGTGTTTTCTTTCTGCCCATTTGGCAGTGAGGGGCCTAAATATGGAGTCATGGTTCTTCTGCTTCAGCATTGTAAAAAAAAAATAAAAATATGCTCGACTGCCTGCCCAGCCATCCTCTGACAATAACAATATTGCACTGCTCTGATTGCCTTCTGCTTACATGCCTGGCCCTAATATAACCTCCTAAAAAAATCTTTTTTTATTTTTATTTTTCTACCCATTTCAACTCTGCAGCTCTCTGCAGAGTAAGTCATCATTTATTTTATGGTCGCGGCCTTGCATTCCTGTGTTATGATTCCAAATTGTCTCTCAGGCAGCTCTTGCATTATGCATCTGTTTATCTGAGCCATCACTTGTCTCTGTTTTCAATCTGTCTACCCCCCTCCCCCTCCCCACTCCTCTTCTCTGTTCAGTCATTTGTTTTTGCTCAGCAGCTGCACACTTTGTAGCTCCGCACTGCCCCCGTGTGGCAGCCTTTCGACACTGTGCGCAGTGTAGACGAGATAAAAATAAAAGGCTTAGCAGCATTGCGCCTGTTTTGGAGTCTGGCTCTTGGATTAGATAAAATCTCCAGCGCCCACACCAGTCACCGAGGAGGTGGCGCCTCCTCTGTTGTTTACTCAGCAGGGGGCACTCTGCACCTCCAACACACACACACATATCTTCCACCTCCCTCCCCTCCCGCCTCCCAGTCTTGTGTAGGTGCCACATCAAAGACGGCTCGCTTGTGTTAATCCCCATCTGACTCCCAGATGCTCTGTATTTCATCATTTGCAGTCCTGAGCCTCAGGATTTTCTTTAGGGCTGTTTTCGTCAAAATGGCTTTCTTACCAAATTATGCACAGGCTCGCGTTAACATAAACAGTCTCCTAACCCTGTATGTTTTGGGGCTTTTCCAGGATCTTCTGGATCATTCCTGCACTTCAGGAAGCGGCTCAGGACTCCCGTTTCTCGTTCAGAGGACTGTTGCCAGACAGATCACTCTGAATGAGTGTGTGGGTAAGTTGCAGGTCGAACACCGTAAACTTCCTTTCTCCAACTATGGCCAGTTCCCGTAATAACGAACAATTTGTGTTCGTCCTCTCACATTATTGATGTTTAGACGGGAACAAATCACCGATGCATTTATCAAATAAATTGTTTCCTTGCACCTGATGAGCCTGCAAAACTGTTTATTTTGACTTTGCTGTTCTACGGGAAATATATTTTTTTTTATATTATAGTTCTAGTAGAAATAAAGTGACATAAAGTATTATTTAAATTCTTGAATGAACCTACCAGTGCAGAACAATGGTTTCCCTGTGCAGTACACACTCTTCCTGGGTCGTCTTGATGACATTTTTGTTCTATTGAAACCTCACAGAAATTCATTTGTGGCCACTAGAGGGCAGAGGGAATCTGATATTCGCATATCCTACAAGAGTACAGTCGAGGGTTCGTCAACAAATCCTTCAGCTTAACAGATATTTTCTTCCACGTTGTTGCAGACGAGGCTAGTGTGTGCTTAGAATCCAGAAAAACTACCTTGGCAATTACTTTTTAGACTCCTATTCTTCCAACCCAGAAAAGGAAGTAGACCAGAGGATACTTATCTAGCAACCCTGAACAGGAGCCACCTAGTTTACATACTTTAGATCAACATTAGATTCTTTTTCTTCTTTTGCTCTTTCCTTTGGTTTATTTTGTTTGCATTTCCTTTTTCATTCCTGTAAAGCACTTTGTGTCGCCTTGTTGCGGAAAATGTGCTATATAAATACAATTACCTTGTATTTGTCGTTGTCCAGGTAAGGGCCGTTACGGTGAAGTGTGGCGGGGTCAGTGGCAGGGGGAGAGTGTCGCTGTGAAAATCTTCTCCTCCAGAGACGAGAAGTCCTGGTTCAGAGAGACTGAAATCTACAACACTGTGCTGCTGAGGCACGAGAACATCCTGGGTGTGTAACATGTCTGTCAACAACAAGGCTTTCAAAAATGCTGAAAATATTTTACTGTTTTTTTTTTGTTTGTTTGTTTTCAGTTAAGTTTTACATAAGAAAAATAAATAAATAAATTGCAGTGTCTTTGCTGACCAGCGGCTGCAACAAATCTTGCACGTTGCATAACAGTCAGAGGTTTAATTTAAAATCTGACTGCTGTATAATTTTCTACTGTGGAATAAAAGGATGTGCTGGATCTGTGAGGACTTTTGAGATTAAAAATATTCAGTAAACATGTAAGAAATGTGAAATGTTTTTATGATGGGCTCTGAGATGTAGTAGACGTTTTGTAGCGGATGCAGATCACTGCTCTGCAAATGACCCTGTGATTGAGATCTATCTTTACCTGTGAATTGGGTTAAACCTTTCTAAGCACTAAAGCCATATTTTGAATTTCACAAAGATAAGCTACCACAAAACTGAAGTATATTATTGTTTTTTTTTTTACATACAAACAACCCAAGCTTTTCCCGTTAAAAAAAATTCTAAACAAAAGTTGTAGAAGCCCTAATAATTTCTACTTGGTAGGAAGAGATTCATATTGATTTAGTAACACAGGAACAGTTCGTATAAATTTCATATTATTAAAATAATTAAAAAAAGGCTTCAGAGACATGTTGGTAAACATGCATCTCTCCCCCCCCCCCCAGCCTTCACCTATTTTTTTTGTCCGAAAAAAAATTTTCTCCATTCTTTTTC